GGGAGAGGTACCGAGAGAGGGGAAGACAGAAGAAGGGAGAGAGTGGGAGAGGCACCGAGAGAGTGGGAGAGGTACCGAGAGAGGGGAAGACAGAAGGAGGGAGAGAGTGGGAGATGTACCGAGAGAGGGGGAAGACAGAAGGAGGGAGAGAGTGGGAGAGGTACCGAGAGAGGGGAAGACAGAAGGAGGGAGAGAGTGGGAGAGGTACCGAGAGAGGGGAAGACAGAAGGAGGGAGAGAGTGGGAGAGGTACCGAGAGAGGGGAAGACAGAAGGAGAGAGAGAGTGGGAGAGGTAACGAGAGAGCGGAAGAGGGGAAGAGGGGAAGAGCGAAGGAGAAAGAGATCTGAGACAGAGCGGGGGGAGGGGAGCAGCACCGGCCGCGCATGCGCGCCAGCATCTATCCATCACCATCTCTTACCCACAGGCACTTAGGTAGCGTTTCAATAAAATATAATGCTAAGTAAATACGAAATCTATTTACTACCAAATTCCTAATGTTTCTATACTCTCTTTCACCTATTATTGCCGACAGTTTCCTGTAAATTCCGTCCAAATCCTATGTGCAACATACGCTGGCGGCCGCCATTGTTCACGCGGCTGCACTGTGCACACTGACACTTATATATATAGTCTATATATAGACTATCTTACTATAATTTGGCGAATGTTGTATGTATGTATGTATGTATGTATGTATGTATGTATGTATGTATGTATGTATGTATGTATGTTAATGAAAGGCTCCGTCAGTTTTGATCCAAATAGCGCCAAATTCACAGAAGATATCGATGAATACACGGGACGGGTTCTAAACTTTACTCGGTTGAAAACGGTAAAAAAGGCTTAAAAAAAAACAAAAAAAATGATAAAGATTTGCCTGAAAATAGGGGGCGCTATATCCTTGCTTTGCTAATATTTCGCCGTCTGTGAACGTTGTTCTGTAATATTTCGCCGTCTGTCAACGTTGTGCTGTAATATTTCGCCGTCTGTGAACGTTGTGCTGTAATATTTCGCCGTCTGTCAACGTTGCAGCATGCACACACATGTTTGTAAGCCCACTAATGTAAGTAGAAATAAGCATGTAATAATGACGTTAAATGTCAATGTCAAGGTCAATCTCTCTGGGTATTGAACAGTCGGTACCACATGCATCACAGTCACTAAGCCCGCGCTTAGCGCGGGTTCCAGCTAGTATATATAAGTGCCAGTGGGCGGCCAGCGTAACATTTTGCACATAGGATTTGGACGAAATTTACAGAAAACTGTCGGCAATAATAGGTGAAAGAGAGTATAGAAACATTAAGAGTTTGGTAGTAAATAGCTTTCGGGCCCAAATACAGTTTCCTATCGGTCAATATGGCGGCACCCAACTCAGACGTCCCAAGTGTCCCGGTCTCACCGGGATCCTCCCGGTATAACACGCTGCTCCCGGTGCCCCGGAATGAGTCCAGAAGCTCCCGGTGGTAAAATTTTTCAGCCATATGAAAATTTACAAAATTTGCCGTTGTTGTTGATGTACTTTGATTCCAAAGAACAATAAAAGGCCACAAATGTCAAGCATTAATGTGATGCAATGTGTAATATACTCGTATAATAATAAATAAATGTTAACCCATAAATTACCATGACTTTGCATTTTATTTTACATGCGTACTTTATAAAAAATGGTGGTGTGCTGCGACAAACACATATCGCAGCCCGCCACAACTTTTTTCCTGAACGGCGATGGACCATTATCACAAGTGCTCCCTTTCTTGGATTGCTGGCTCCCTTTCTTGGATTTTCCCAACTTGGGACCTCTGCCGACTCCAAACCCCCTGCCCGCGCCCGCCTGTACTGTCTGTACTGGGCGCATTAGGTGCGTTCACACTGGCGCGAATTAGCGGGCTGCAAAACCCGGTTTTTGTAGCTCGCTCGAAAAACTGAGCTTTTTACAAGTGTGAACGCAATTAGCTCACTAAATCGCGCTCCAAATAGCCCGCTCCTAAGACCACTTCTGACTGCGCTAATTTGAATCAGCTCACTTATTTGCACCGCGGCGTGATATTTGCACCGCGGCGATTAGCGAGATATTCGCCTGTGTGAACAACGACACAATTAGCTCACTATTATCTCCGATATTAGCGGGCTGAGCAGCGCGGTTTTTCTTGTGTGTGAACGCGCCTATTGTACAGCTGTTTACCACACCCCCCACACGCTATCACGCTATATATGGCCGGTGGGAAAGTGTATTTAACTATGATATCTCGCGAAGTATTTGAGTTACGTTTCTAGAATTCTACATGCATGATGATACATGGCTTACCAATAATCTCTGTGAGTTTCGAGTTTATTGACGCACGATCAGTCTAATTAATTAGCTGTTATTCACGCGCTGTAATGTCCATAGGCTTATACAGGCATAGTAGGCGTGTGGCCGGTAGGAAAGTGTATTTACCTATAATATCTCGCGAAATATATGAGTTACGTTTCTAAAATTCTACATGCATGATGATACATGTCTTAGCAATAATTTCTGTGAGTGTCGAGTTTATTAACGCACGATTAGTCTAATTAATTAGCAAATATGCACGCGCTGTATAACGACCATAGGTTATTATACGATCTCGCGAAGGAGTTGAGTTATAATTCTAGAATTCTACATGCATAATGATACATGTCTTAGCTATAAGTCCTGTGAGTTTCGAGTTTATTGACGCACGATTAGTCTAATTAATTAGCTGTTATTCACGCGCGGTAATGCCCATAGGCTTATACAGGCATAGTAGGCGTATGTCCGGTACGAAAGTGTATTTACCTATCACATCTCGCGAACTATACGAGTTACGTTTCTAGAATTCTACATGCATGATGATACATGTCTTAGCAATAATCTCTGTGAGTGTCGAGTTTATTGACGCACGATTAGTCTAATTAATTAGCAAATATGCACGCGCTGTAACGCCCATAGGCTTATACAAACATAGTAGGCGTATGGCCGGTAGGAAAGTGTATTTACCTATCATATCTCGCGAACTATATGAGTTACGTTTCTAGAATTCTACATGCATGATGATACATGTCTTAGCAATAATCCCTGTGAGTTTCGAGTTTATTGACGCACGATTAGTCTAATTAATTAGCTGTTATTCACGCGCGGTAATACCCATAGGCTTATACAAGCATATTACCGCGTATTTACCGCGTATTTATTTACGCAATTTACCGCGTATTTATTTAGCATTATATTTTATTGAAACGCTTCAAGTGCCTGTGCATCAGCATCTCTTACCTGTGTATCGGACGGCGTAGGAATCGCAATCTTTGTGATCTTCATCCCCTCCGGGCCTCCGCGCTCCGAAACGACGGCTGCTTTCATCGACATGTTTGCTGAGGTTATAGTGGTGAGGTGATGGATAGCGGAGGATGATAGATAGAGGTGAGGTGATAGACTACGCGTACAGAAGATGCTCCGGTGATGTGTGTGTCTGCGGTGTGTGTCCGGTGTGCGAGCATAGGTGCGAGTGAAGGCAGAGGTCCGCGGTTCACTTATAAAGGAGTGACGGAAAAGAACATTTGGCAAACCTCGGCCGGAAAACCGAATGTAACCTCGCCTGTACACAGTAGCCATTAGCGGTAGGATAACACACTACGCAGTGCTTTTGGTGTCTGAGATTACCCCCAGTCTGAAATTACCCTAGCGCTACTGCGCATGCGTCACGCGTGCGCACGAGGTGCTGGGTGTAAAGCCCAGCTGCTTGGTGGGCATGTTTCCATGAACCAGACTGATCACGTGACGTCAGTGTACGTCACGCACGAACTCGGCTATCTCCGAAGTTGAATGCATGTACGCATACAGCCTGCTGATGTGTGGCTTATGCGTCTAAACAGAGGAATTGCTCCGACCTGTGATTGGAGGATAAAAATAGACCCCGCCCACTCCCGCCGCATACGCTATGCTATGACGGGTAGGAACGTGTACTATAACTATCATATGGAGCGAACGATTTGAGTTACATTTCTATAAATTCTAGCCATCTGTGAATTTTGAGTCTATTGAAGCGCGATTAGTCTAATTAATTAGCAAATATGCACGCGCGGCTACAGCGGCGTACGCAGGATTTTCGAAAGGGGGGTGTTATGAGCACACGAAGGGGAGGTGTGGGGGGCTCTCCCCCCTAAATTTTTTGAAATTAGCACCCCTCAGATGCGTTTTCTGCGCGAGCATGGGGGGTCCGGACCCCCTGGACCCCCCCCTAGAGAGTGGGAGAGATACCGAGAGATCGTAAGAGAAGAAGAAGGGAAGACAGAAGGAGGGAGAGGTACCGAGAGAGGGGAAGACAGGAGGGAGAGAGTGGGAGAGGTACCGAGAGATCGGAAGAGGGGAAGAGCGAAGGAGAAAGAGGGGAAGAGGGAAAGAGGGGAAGAGCGAAGTAGAAAGAGAGCTGAGACAGAGCGGGGGAGGGGAGCAGCAGCGGCGGCGCATGCGCGCCAGCATCTATCCATCAGCACCAAGGCACTTGAAGCGTTTCAATAAAATATAATGCTAACTAAATACAAAATCTATTTACTACCAACTTCTCAATGTTTCTATACTCTCTTTCACCTATTATTGCCGACAGTTTCCTGTAAATTCCGTCCAAATCCTACGTCCAACCATATACGCTGCCGGCGCCATTGCTTTCGCGGCTCCACTGTTGCACGCTTACATAATAGTGTAACCGAGCAACAGTGGAGCCGCGAAAGCAATGGCGGCTGACAGCGTAGGATTTTGGTAGCGTTGCACGTAGGATTTGGACGGAATTTACAGGAAACTGTCGGCAATAATAGGTGAAAGAGAGTATAGAAACATTAAGAAGTTGGTAGTAAATAGATTTCGTATTTAGTTAGCATTATATTTTATTGAAATTCTTCAAGTGCCTGTTCATCTGCATCTCGTACCTTAGATACAATAATGCAACCCAAACCTAGGATAGGAAACCCTATCCTGGGTTTGGGTTACATTATTGTATACTCTTACCTGTGTATCGGACGGCGTAGGAATCGCAATCTTTGTGATCTTCATCCCCTCCGGTCCTCCGCGCTCCGAAACGACGGCTGCTTTCATCGACATGTTTGCTGTATATAGTGAGGCGATAGACTGACTGCGCGTACAGGAGATGCTCCGGTGATGTCTGACTGTGT